GTTTCTGAGAAAGAAGAACATTTAATTCTCAATAGAGATTATATGGCTACAAAAAAAACAAGTGTTTTGAAAATAGAGCATCTTTTTATATTAACATAATAATTATGATGCACCAAAAAACACACATCAAACCTACATCCTGAAGCAGATAGCGACCAATATTGTTGTCACATGGCTTCAACAACGCTTTTACCTGCAAGTATTTTTTTGTCTTTGGTTGAGCACAATGCTTCTTTTTGAAAAGAAAATCAAAGAGTATCAAGTTCTACAAACTGACCTGCTGCCCTCAGACAGTATGGAGAAATGTGAGGAGAGATGTTTGCTGGCAGTTTTTAATTACTTGATTAGAGGAAGTATGTATATGTGCAAGTGTTGGCAATGGAAATGGAAACCTGATTTAATTTTGACGTTGGCTGCAAACCCAACTAAATTTACCTGGATTAACCGCCAGCTGTTCTTGGATTCTCACTCTTTATTTCCAGCTATGGTCTACACCTGAGCCCCATTCTCATTCCCTTACATTGATCACATTTGTGCTGCACTGGTTTCTGCTTGTACTGCAACATGAATCAGAATCAGCTTTATTTGCCATGTATGAGCACACATACTAGGAATTTGACGGTGGAGGAAAATGTCTAAATTAGTTGATTAGGAGGAAGACCTCACTCATGTCACTGCTACAACAGGAAACGTTGTAAAAGTCTTGCTGATCCTATAGGCCAGTGCATACACATGTGAACTGTCACTTCACTAAGAGGAGCAATGTTTGACAAAAAGACGTCAAGCAGACCTCACAGATTCTGAATGAAGTTGCCTTCAGTTGGGACTTTGTCCAATTTGTATTATTCCATTTCACCTTCACACAATCCACCAGAGTGTAAATAATGAACTCAAAGCATGACTGACATTGAAGAGGTGCTCAAGGAGTGAAACATACAAATTCATTTTTCTTCTGTCCATGACTTTTACTACTTAAGCAATAACAAGATAATTTGAGTTGGACTGATTTCAAGTTCATTTATACAGGAGTGGAGTTGTGACCATGAAGTTCTTCCTTTTAGTAGCTATAATCCTGAAGTAGTCAATTGTAATTTATCGCCATATGAATGCGGAAGCTGTATCATAATTTGATACGAAAGATTTATGTTTTTTACTAATAGTAAAATATCACATAGAGCTCTGGAGCACTTATTATAAAATCATCTTCTCAAGGGCTGTGCGGCGTGATGAAGTTTGATAGTTTCCAGATAGGGAGGAGTGTCAGAGTGTGGCCTGCCTGACCCGACCTTGTCTCCTGAAATCAGCCGCTATGAAAGGTTCCACATGATACTAGCACATGAGACAACAAGCTGTCACCGCACTCGTCAGGAAGCATTGAACATGTCTGTACGAGGAGATGATAAATTAATCACGGCGGCGTCCCGGAGCGAGCGCCGCTGACATGACCTTGATCGATCGTAGGCAGAATGACAGATGGTCATAAAGGACAATCATGTAACTGTACGCTCATTAGCATAATCACATGTCTATACAGTACACTTTCAGCTACAAGGCCACATGGAGCTCGCACAGCACCGGCGGGCTTGTGACCGTGAGGTAATGTTGTTACTGTCTTACATGAGCTGTGACACTTTTAAAGCATAGCAATGACATGCTGAGTGTGCCCCATTTATTTTAAAAGGCATATGGTTTTCCTGCTGAACAAAGACAGTGAACGTTTGGTATGTAGCAAGAGAAGAGTGTAACTTTTTCCACTGACTGCATCACATTTCTTACGTTTTCCTCAACATGATGATTCCTTAAAAGAACAGCCACAGCTACACTTCTACAGCTACCATCCTGTCAAAGCACAAAAATAACTCCCCAAAGACTGGTCCATTTCCCACCATTAAATCAGGGTTCAAAAACAGGAGTTTTTTTTATTAATACTATTCTATTGACTAGAATTCAGAGCAGCTTAGAGAGGCAAAAAGTCCTAACTTTGCCTTGGAAGTTGGACCACCAACTGCTTCAAAAAATGTTTTAAAATGAGCAGGATGCTTTGTCTAGAAATCAGTGTGGAGACTTTCCTGACGTCACCGGGAATTAGAAATATGGACAGTTGCCATCTGTAGGCACAGGCAGGCGTGCAATACTTTTCTACATTTTATAGAGACAGAAAAAAGGAGGCGACATTGAGGAAAGACAGCGAAACAGTACAACCATCAAGTTTCTTAAAAGTTGTGTATCCATTATTCCAGTCCAGCCATCGCTTTTACTATTAGAAGCGAAATTAGCACTAGCTTTAACTACCTAATCTATGTAATTAGTTGGTTTCCCAGTAGCTGAACTAATGCATGTAAATTGAGGCATAAATTCACTGCATCTTTAGTCTCAACACAGGATTAGTCTTTTTGACAGACTTTAAGTATGAGTACGGTAGAATTTAATACTACTACTATTTACCCATTACTTCTAAACACAAAGTACAGCGGATGGAAATACTAGAAATTTAAAGGATCACCAAAGTGAGTTTAATTTATCCAAAGGGGAACATGAATGTGAACCACATTTCATAGCAATCAACCAAAATTAGTCAAGACATTTCACTGAATTTCAATTTCATGGTGATATTAGCAAAACCAGTAAAACATTATGTTTCAATCTGTCTTATCCATTTTGAGTTTTTGTAGGATTCATCCTCTGGGGACCCTGCAGGTGTCGAAAAAAATGTTGTGGTCATGCATCACAACTTATTCCCCATCACTCTCCACTCTTTATGATTGCATCACTTGTTCCCTTCACATTGCATTTCCAGATCACATCCGGGCACTAGCTTTACACTCTAAGTCACTTTAAACCTCATCACTCAGTGGAAAGTCAAGGAGAGGGCAGAGAGGGATGGGGAAAGAGCTCATGCTTGAGAGAGACAGACAAGTGGAGCAAAAAAGGCAAGAGCGGGGAAATTAAGGGGGTTAAAGGTTGGAAATTAGAGACAAAAAGGTCAGGAGAGGAGTTGGGGAGACAAGAGATTGGCAGAGCAAGAGAGATTGAGCTAAAAGAACAAGATGGACAATAGGGTTAGCAAAGTGAAAACTCCTCATGCAAATCATGGGGTTATAGTGAAAGACATGGAAGACAAAAAAAAAGATGGGATAGCAGAGAGACATAGAGAGAGAGAGAGGTGGAGAGTAGTCCAGAGATTTATGGCAGGTTGTTATGGAGCACCGACTGAATAACAGAAGGTGAGACAAGGTGAATTATTCATGAGGATACAGGGCTGTGTTCGTGTGTGTCTGTGTGTGTGTGTGTGTGTGTGTGTGTGCCATGTGTATGACGGGAGCAGGTGAAACAAACACATGCACACACTTAATGTCTCAGGCACCCTTAGGCCAGCTCATCTATGAGACAGACGATCTTTCCACAACCTGTTCATTTAGTTCTTTTAGCTTCCCAAGAAATTATTCCTACAAAACAGACAGGACCTCAAAGAGACAGCTGTCTCGTCCCTGTATAAAGGAATGCACCTATTTTATGAGGATATTTTAACAATATTAAATGGAGTTTAGCATCTTATAGGGTCAGAAGAAATGTCTTCCTATTAGTTTTGTTTTGGTTTCAAATCACATGAATGCCACACAATGCTGACTAACAATAATCTTGATAAAGCCTTTTGGAGCTGAAAACATTAAAGATCAAGAAAGGTCAAGAAAACACAAGAGACTGTTCTTCGGTGGCTCATAGGTAGAGCAGGTCGTCCTCTAGGCCGGGGATTTGATCCTCCGGTGCCATTGTATCCCTGGGCAAGACATTGAACCCCAAATTCCCTTTGGCGATTGTTCCATCAGTAACTAAATGATGTATAATAGAAAGGTTGCTGCATAAACAAGTGCTTTATGAATGTGTGTTTGTGTGTGAATGTGACTTGAAGGATAAAGCTTTGGTCTGAAGAAGATCAGTTACTGCCCACATTCTTCCATAGTCACTATAGTGCTGGATTGGAAAAGCCACTGAAAAAGCATCTATGTGGCACTGCATGTGCAATCCCACCTACACTTCGGTTTAAGTGGAAAATATTACTTTGTTGCATGTAAGAATTTAATGAGATTCATAGTTTCCACTAATAGGTTAACCAGGGAAAGTTAAATGATGCACTAGCAGCTTTTGATGATTTGCCATCCTGCCAGGGTGGAGGTTCTGGGCTTTGCAGTGTGAGTGTGAGGGTAAAATGTATTCAGTTACTGGAAATTTCACATTCGCTAATGTTGGAACTCGCCCCAAACTTAGTTTTTCTCGTACAGTGTGGCTTCTTCACTTCTAAGAAATGTTTCAGTAAAAATGAAGAGTTGTCTTCATTTTCACCTACAAAGGCAAACTGAATAAATACTGTAAATGCTTTCCAGGCTTGCTTGGTTTTAACACACCCTAACTCATGACCACGAAAATGCTTTTGGCGAGGTGCAAGGTAATGGCAGGCGGTCCAACCACTGTTGAGTTGAAGTCACACAAACCCACTGAAACTAACACTTCTCATTTCAGGAACTAGAAATTGTGCTTAATGCTGTGAAATGGTCTATTCTGTGTCAACAATCTCATGCACACCCGACCACAAACTAAGACCTCCAACAATAATTGGTATAGCTAATTCACCCTTTTGAAGGTCCTGAGGGAGCTGAAGCCCAGCTGACAGTGGGCAAGAGGCAGGATACACCTTGGACAGGTTGCTAATCTATCACAGGTATCACAAATAGAGAAAAACAACCATTTACTCCTACAAGCTATTTAGAGTCCAAACATCCCTCGATGTCTATGAGCTGTAGGAAGAAGCAAGACCACACAGAAGAAACCCATAAACTCATATGGACAACATGCAAAATCTACTCAGAGGCTGACAGATTAAAATCCAGGTCCTTCTAGGTATTAGAAAAATAGCGTGAACCACCATTCCCTCTAGCATAGCTTATGATGATAACAAAATCAGAACCAAATATAACTTGGAAGCAACAATCTCAAATACTCACCGAGTTGATGCAGGCCAGCTCCTTGTTTAGAAGCCAGGGTAGGGAGAGTTTCCCCTCTCCTCTGTAGCACGACTGAATCCTCTCTTTAATCTTCTCCTTTATCCGTCTCATCGTGAATAGACACAAAGCGGACTCCTTGGGTGGTTTGGCTCTGTTCTTCTGACCCTGGGCAAATACAGTAAATAGAACCTCTTCGTGTTCTTGAATACCCAGCGAACGTGCCAAGCGGCTCCCCGGTCGGGCTAAATAAGCATCCTGAACCAAGCGGTATTCCACTCCGTCCTTGGTGCAGCCGATGGGGAATTCAACGTAGGAGTAGAACTTAGGATCGTCAACACACAGGCGAACAATTTTAGAGGTGAAGAACTGTTCGCTGCTTGCATCTGGCGAGGTGAGTTGGGTGTCAAGCTGTAAGGTGAGATAATACACAAACTGCTCACTGTTGAAGCCGTAGATATAGTAGATGTCGAATGCTGGGAACTTGGAGAGCGTGTCTGAGGGAATCTTGAGCTGCGAGGAAACAAACTCATCCTGGTAGACGAAGCTAAACATGTCTGCATTCTCCTCATTGGACATTAACTTGCGGCTGGACAGCGTTGGGAAGTACTCAGATTTCCCATCGATGGGTGTGCCGACGAATAGTTTTCCACCCTCACCAAAAATATTCGGGGAGATCACTACACCTGACATGGTGCCTGCTTCAGCAACACTGGATAGATAATGCTCTTTACGGTGGTGGGGCTCACCGAGCTTAAATAAGTCTTCCAGACGCAGGAATTGGCATATTCCCTGGGAAGTACTCCCACAGGCAATTAAGCGGTTATGAGCAGCATCAAGTAGCAGGAGTTTATTGACATTAGAGGTTTGCACCAGCTCATGAGGGCAGGACTGCACACCAGGTGGAGGGTAACAGCGAGGGTTGTCTGTCACAGGGCCTGTAACATGGCTTCGTAACTTGGTGAGATTGCTGGACAGCTTGTAGATCCAGTTGACAGCGCCCAGGTAGACCTCGCCGGTTTTGTTGTGCACCACCAAATGTGTGAGACCTCCTTCGGGTGGGGAGAAGGAGAGGAGGGGGGAGGAGGAGGAAGAGAGAGTGGAGGTGGAGGGCATGGAAAGGGAGAGGAGCAGAGTGAAGATTAGGAGGACGAGGAAGGGTGGGTTCAGGTAGGAGGACATGGCAGTGAGGGGAGGGGAGGTGTGAACGTGTGGGTGTATTTTTGACTGTGTAATCCACGTCAGGGTCAGTCAGTGCCTTATAGGACTGCAGGGTATGATGATACAAAAGAAGAGTTTCCAAGCAGTCAACTTCCTCTTCCTGTTTTTTTTTCCTCCTTTCTCCGCTGTAGTTTTATAACCTCATCCCCTGATCTTCAGCCTTGACTGCTTTTAGCCCTGAGAAAGAGAAACACAGAAAAATCTTAGCAAACACAGATGTCAATATATTCGTGGACTTGTGTTTTGCACTTCCAGAGATCTGACAAACGGGATTCATTTGTTTGTATCGAAATGACAGGAAACTTAATATTCGCCCACAGACTCAGAGACCTCAGTGCTGAGGTCCCAAAAAACAAATGAGGGCACTAGCGGCTTTGTTTTATTGACTTCTCGACTTGGCTCGCGCTACTCTGTGGAGTGCATCTTTTAAAAGAAGACAGGGCCAAATATTGCTCCTCTGCGTATCGATTGTCTGGAAGTATTAAAAGATACAATAGACGAAGTGGAAATACACACACAGAAGAACATAAGCACCTTGAATATACACAAAAACACAACTGGTGACATGAGTGTGCGAAAGCAGGAAAAGGTGAGGATGCATTCCTAAACACCATGCCCATAAAACACAAATGGAAGAGCAGACCTATACTACACATTACACAAATATGAAAAGAAGCACAGGGTGAGCCACTGATGTGCAGCATGGTGATAGCAGGTAAACATTCATAAATTACCAGCGGGGCTGCAGGGAGGACTCAACAGTATATTTACTACAGAGCAACAGAGCAGAGAAATACAGACACCCTGATAAAAAAAAGAAAGAGGAGAGAGGGAGAGAACTGGTTCGACTCAATAAAACAGGAGAGAAGTGAGAGGGAGAGAAGCGAAAGCTATTTGGCTTCATACCTTTTCAATATAAAGTCAGTGGAGATGGAGTGAAAGATTGCCAAGAGAGGGAGACTGACTATCTTTGAATTTTCCATTCCATTCATCCACCCATCAATTGTCTATATCTGCTTATCCAGTTCACTGTCACAAAAGACTTGGGTCCATCCCAGAATGCACTGGGGAACAGGTGAAGTCTTGAAAGTCCAAGTGCAAAAAAAGCAACATTGCTCCAAACACTAGATCATCAGCACCATTGTTGCTATTACTTACTTCATTGTGGAAGAAAAACCTTTAAAAAGCATTCTAAATATAATGTTTATCCATAATCTGCATTATCTACTGTCAAAAGTCAGATTCACACTCACAATATGAGCTATGGGTATGATTCAACAAGAAGTCGAATGCATCTTGCATCTGGTTACAAATACGATAATTATCATACATCTGGAACAGTGAATCCCACTGTCAACATATATCTTTGATTGTAATTCCGGCATTTTCTTCTCAGCAATTTTAAGGACAGTTCTCACCTCCACCAAAACTAATTTTCCACTTGCACCTTCCACGTTGCTGCATCCAAAAACACCACCCCAGACGATGGTAATTGTATTGTTCCCACTTTAACACAGCGATAATGGCTGCAGCCTGACCGTCCTCCAGTGCTGACACAGCACTGTGGAGATAGGTCTGGATATGCAAGACTATACCAAATGCAATCATCCAAGCAACAAAGTACTCTCTCTCTTTGAATGTAAGCAATGCACACGGACATGCAGCTGAAACGAACACAAGAGGATATTCGGTTGTTTTTGCAGAATTTCTTGTGTCGATAAACCAAAGACTAAAACGAATTGACTACACAATCCTTATGACAGGCGACTATCGGGAAAATGAAGTATTTTCTTTAATCAGTTTTTGGATTAACATCCTCATTCTACTGTTATCCAATTTTCACTAAACCTCATTGTGGTCCATTATTACATGTACTGATGTCACCTTCCATGGATATTAGACAGTCTATGATGACCCACAACACAAAATAGTGTTTTAAAGGCTGTTGGAAGCGTTTGAATCCAGCCATGTATTCACATACAGCACTGTCCAAACTTGCTGTTACTACTGCTGTCTCCCGTTCTTCTCTTTCAACGCAACACCCCACCCACCAATCCACCCCCTCTCTCTCCCTCCAACACTTCACTTCTTGTCAATAGCGTCTTTCATCTCCAGCCCAGCCATGATTAGTGGCTCAGATGACGATGCTATTGCCCCGTCCCATCAGGACAATGCAGCCACTGTTAGCATCTTGCACACACACCCGCGCACACAATGTGAACATACGCGTACAGTGGTCAGGAGCGTTTTTACACACTCTTTTATATCCTACTGAGTTCACAACGTCTCCACACACTCAGACACAGACCTGAACCCCCACACACACACACACACTCCACCTATGTGCTTGCTCACCAGATCTACACAAGTAGCAACATAGAAGCCTGACAAGAGTGCTAAGAGTGACTATCTTTGCAGCATTTGTCTTCTAACCCTTGTCTGATGTGTTTTATAAATTCTATAAATAAGTGAAAACCAAGCAGCACGTGTGGACAGTGGGACAAAGAAATGAGAGGAAGGAAGCGGATGTCTTTGAACTGAAAAACAACTTATTGATTTAAAAGTCTTTCTTTAATGCCTGAATTAGATCAAACGGACAGAGGGGTTGAGTTATGGATAAAGACATTGGTTTAGAAAAGTGACTGTGGAGGAAAGAAACTGAAGATATTCTAATTGGATAAAAACTTCTTCTTCCTGTTGTAATGTGTACGGACCTAAAACAGTCCTTAACAGATTGTGTGAGTTTTGTGTGTGTTCTTAAAATCTGTCCAGTCTGAGTGACTCTTTGAGACATCATCAAAAATATATGACATTAAAATATGACAAAATGTTATTACTTCATATATCATGTCATCTGCATATCACTTGATCCAAGAGGACCATAAATTATCCAGACCTTCATTTCCCTGAGTGTTTGTGCATGTGTGTGTGTGTGTGTGTGTGTGTGTGTGTGTGTGCGTGAGCCAGGGCCATCCTGAAGCCCACCTGCCACATCACATGTAGCTGTAGGGGCATTAAGGGTCTGTCCCAATCTGATTTATTGCTCTTGGCACATTGACTGCACACAAAGCCACAGACCTCTGCCAAACTCTCACATTTATACACACCATTTCTTTCACATGTAGATCACATCCATGCCTGCTGGCCTCACTCTGTTTGTCTGTCACTGTGTGTGTGTGTGTGTGTGTGTGTGTGTGTGTGTGTGTGTGTGTGTGTGTGTGTGTGTGTATGTGTGTATCCTGCAGCTATTCACTCTTATTTAACACCCAAACACACGTCCAAACATCGGCCTATACATAAACTACACAAAACGTATATAAAACTGTTCAAACCACAGTCGAAGTATAAACATTTACAATAATACCCTCTCCTTTTTAAACACACTTTATTTCTGTCCAAAATGCAGTGACGAGGGTGAATGTCGAGGGCATGAGCTGGAATTGAACCACTTGGTCCTTTCACCTGCATTCATGATCCAGAGGATGTTGTCCATTTTTGTATCCTGTATATTCACCAGCACAGAAACTCTGGTTTTATAGCTCCTGCTAAGAGTGAAAGAAAACGTTGGCTTCAAAAAGACTTCAATCCTGTTTTTCATGTGAAATTTCAAACCTGTGCATTCAGTTTACAACTATTCCAGATGTTTGGACAAACCATTTCAAAAACAGACATGTATGACTTTATTCATCAGCATAGAGCTGGTGTCTCAGGACACAGTCTGCTGTGAGCAGGTTTCATACTGTGTGTAGAAAGTAATAAATCATGAAATACACATTTTATTACCAAACTATACGTATTTTATCGTTGAATATTTATTTTGGCATTTACTTTTGTATCTTTATATTAGTGAGTTATTTATCTATTTATTTATTTGATTTTTGCAGTTTTGGTTGTAAGTGCTCATGATTCAAATCGTCTTTTTTTAAACAAAAAACAGGGTAAATTAGTACTAAGTAGCGGAGACAGCAGAATCTCTGTGTCTCCAGGGATTATAAACAAACAAAACATTCGTGATCATGAGAAAAGACAGACGCTGTATTACTGTCTTGATTTCTAATCTTACGACAGAAGCTAGGAAATGGAGGTCGTTTTATCGTCTCTTATTTTGTTTATCTGAACACCTGTAAAGATTGAAGTGCGAATGGATGTGGCAACTATTGAAAGTCTATTTCCAAGGTTCTGCTGCAGGTCTGAATAAGGCAACACACTATTTAACACACACTAAATGATTTGCTTAGATGCAGCTAAATACGCACCTCAAACCATGCATAGAGAATGTGATGTGATCAAATGGATTTCGTTTTTACTCTGGGCTTGTTGCAACAGATGGCAGCAGAGTTAACGGTACAGTGCGGGTCAGATCAGGACACTGGAGGAGATATGAGAATGGCGGCAGCAGACGAACGTGAGGAAACTTCTATTAGGAATCTATTTTCCACAAGGCGTGATATTGACATGTGTTAATACTGCAGACTGTAGTCGACTCACACTCCCCCTCTCGTGACTTTCAAGAGACAGACAGAAATAAGACAAAGAGGAGGGAGGAGGAAGGGGAACCTGATTAAATATATATGGAGAACATTCATAAAAAAACTGAACAAAACTATCCTGTTTAATACGAATGTTATTTTAAATATTTAGTTGAATCTTTATGAGGCCTGCTTCCCCGTTGGAGCAGGGGGAGCAGAAGGGGCGACACAGAGGGAGAGATATGAAGCCCAGATATTACCTGTGGTGAAAGGGACAGCTGCATGTCAGTGTTATAACTGGACAGTTGCTTGTTTTCTTTCAGTTGCTGTTTGGGCTCAGTTATCAGCACGGTCAGCTGCAACAGAGGCTTTGAGGATATTCACTTTTTTTCCAGTATGCAGTAAAGTTGTTTTGTTCTTGTGACAGATATCTCTCACTCAGCATCAAGTATAAGATCAAAACAATGAGGCTCAAGTTGTAGCCTACAGCGATATTTATTTTCTGTGTACAACCCCCAAAAGCAGTTTCATCCAAGGAGTCTGTGTCAGATTTTGAAAGACAACAGTTGCCAAGTCTGTCATAACTGATCCCCTACTGCAAAGCTTGGGTGTAATGAACTGATTTTGTTAATTATGAAGAGACTGCTGTGGCAGACAGCTCACTAACAAAGCACTGACTTTAATTTCTTGTATTTCTGAGGTGACTCA